AAAATAGGGCTCAAAGTGGGCGAATCGCCGATTTGTAAACAGCGCTGAGGTCACTAACTTCGCGAGAGCATAATTCCATCAGTTTTCCATCAAATTTCGTTTTTTTGGTGTCATTACAATCGGGAAAAGATTCTCTATCATTTCATAAGAAAAAATAATTTTTTTTTTTTTTAAATTTTGCGACACCAGGAGACACCTCAGGATTGGGGGTTGCGACAGTCAAAGGGTTAATGGTGGCAGATCAGCAGTACTGTAATTCATATAAAAGGATGCGAGTGAATGGAGGTGGAGGCAGACCACGGATAAACTGCACCTGATGAATTGATCTAGTGTAGACCAGGACTACTCAACTACTATGAGCAAAGGTCCACTTGGACAAGTACCACGTATGCAAAGGTCCGGATACATTTTTTACATGCAATCATGAAAAGCAACAAATCCGAGTATAGGACAGTGTACTCGTCATTTTCTGTGAACTTCATTTTCAGACCTCGTCTTATAAAAATTTACAAAATATGAAGCTAAATAGTGTGAAAAAATAATTTTTACATTATATTGAACAAGTTTTGGATTTCTTTACTCAAATTTATTTAAATGGAGTTTTCAAACTGAAAAATTAATATATATACTGATTAACAGAATGGCATATTTTAGAAATTACACTACAACAGGATTTGAAATTTTATTTAACCCTTTCACTGTCGGTGCCGTAGTACTATAGCTTGCAAGTCAGTGCTGGTGCCGTAGAATTACGCCAAAATTCTAGCGGCTTCAAATCTGCTGGAAAAAGCTGGTAGACCTACGTGTCAGAGAATGGGTCTGAGTGGTCAGTGATCGCAGTATAAAAAAAAATCCTGCAGCATGCAGTGCATAATGAGGAAAAAAATAATCTCACCGTGGTTTTGGTTTAAAACGCCGAGTTTGCAGTGTATTTTCGTATGGTATTTATGGTTGTATTCTCGTTTTCTTGGTCTCGTTTGATAGAATGGAAGATATATTATAGAAACAGAGATGATTTTGACTGGTTTGCGGGCTAAAAGTACCTAGAAATTGAGCTCAAAATAGCGGAAATGTTTGATTTTTGCCGATGTTCAAGAGTAAACAAATCATGCCACACATCCAATACACGTCAACTAGTGGGTCTAATATGCTTTCACAAATGCACTGATATTATTTATACCATTTTTACAATAATGTAGTAGTCTGCATAACAGTAAATTTTCTATTTTTTGTGTGAATAAAAATTCAAAATGGAAAGCAAGCATAATATAAGAGGGGGCTGGAGACATGACTAATGAACAGAGAAAATTTTATTTTAGTGCTAGGTATGTCTGCATTGTTTATTCTGGCTGCTATTTTGAAATTGGCCTTACTTGAATTGTGTATGAAATTGGCCAAATTACCAATTTCTGATCGCTTTCTTGGGTAGTTGAAATCAGTAAATGGGCAGTTTCTTGTACTCAGTCGATAGAAGAAATGGAGTTCTAGTGAAATAGCTATGAGTTTTGTTGACTGGAACAATGGAATTGGCCAAAAATAGGGCTCATTGGGTAAAATTGGTGATGCGTAAATATTGCCGAGACCACTAACTTCGTGAGAGCGTAATTCCATAAGTTTTCCATCAAATTTCGTACTTTTGGTGTCATTACCATTGGGAAAAGATTCTCTATCATTTCAATTTTTTTTTTTTTAAATTCTTCAACACTGAAAGCAAGTTTGTGAACAGGGGTCTTGGCAGTGAAAGTGTTAAAAAAAAAATCTGAATTTTAATGTGTAAAGATGAACAACACGGGTGTAATCCGTGTATGACTGTAGGTAAGTTGTCTTTATATTGTGTGTGTGACTGTGTACTGTTTTTCTGTAAAGTAAAAGGACACAAGTGCAACTAATGTGACATTTTATTTTGGCAACGTTTCGCTCTCCAGGAGCTTTATCAAGCCGTTACAAACAGTGCATGGACACAGAGGGTATATATAGGCTCAGAGTGAGGTGCAATACTAGTGGTGGGTGGTGGTAGTAGTAGTAGTAGAAGAAGTAATACAATATGTAGAACAATTAACTTGCACAAGAGTAAACGATATAAAGGCTATTACTTGGGAAACATAAAAATTTGGTTAGACAAATATTTCTATTGGAGGCTGGGTAGAGAAGGCCTGTTTCAGTGTTCATTCTCTGTAATGTGCTTGTGTGGTGTTAACAGGAGAGACTATGTGATGGCAGGATTTACTGTTTTCAGAAGGATTCTTGCTAAGACTTCAGAGATGGTGAAGCTGCCTTGTTTTGTTTAATTGTATTAGAAACAGTAGTTAGTGCTGATTCAAGGCACTTGCGTCTGCGGAAATTAGTTTCTTTGTTCACTAGTTGGGCGTCCCTGAACTTCATGAGATGATTGGTGGAATTTCGGTGTTGTACACAGGCGTTGTTCAAGTTATCGTTCCTACATGCATAAATGTGTTCATTGAGGCGGGTGTCGAGGTTTCTTACTGTTTCACCTACATAAATCTTGTCGCAGCCTCCACAGGGTATAGTGTAAACCCCTCCGTTGACTGGTTCATGGTGCTTGGATTTTGTTCTGGTTAGATCCTTTATCGAAGTGCTGGAGTGATGGCGACTCTGGTGTTAGCTTGTGAAAGTACTTTAGAAACGTTCAGTGCAACCTGGCTGTTGGGAAGAATTATAACTTTGTTTTTCTGTTGTACTAGTTTAGTGAGAGAAATTCTTACTTCGTGTTAATTCCTGAAATCTTGGTACTAATGGAGAAATAGCTAGTCAAAGACAGTGGTGGAGGTGTTCACTGGTCATACAGGAGCATCAGACTGGCACACAGTACTAATTGGTGGATAATGCAGTGATAGGTTATCATGTCAGGATTATCTTCCTTTACTCTTGCAACTAGGCCCCTCTCTTGACCAACCATGGCTGGAGCTCCATCTGTGGTCAGTGAAATGATGGATTTGTCATCAATATTTCTCAGTTCTCTAGGTAGTAGGTTTGTAGACAGCAACCGCCCAGGGAGGTACTGGTGTCCTGCCAAGAGTGTAAAACAAAAGCCTGTAATTGTTTTATGTGATGGTAGGATTGCTGGTGTCTTTTTTCTGTCTCATAAACATTCAGGATTTCAGGTATGTCTTGTTCCTTCTACTTACACTTAGGTTATACTACACTTGCATGTACAAGCATATAGTATATACTTTACACATATACATGTACTGCTATGTATGACAGTCTATGTAACTGTATTTGCGTATACCTGAATAAACTTACTTATACACACCCCTCTGGGTTTTCTATTTTCTTATTATTATTGTTCTTTCCTCATCTCCATGGGGAGGTGGAACAGAATTCTTCCTCCGTCAGCCATGCATGTTGTAAGAGTCGACTAAAATACCAGGAGCAAGAGGCTAGTAACCCCTTCTCCTGTATACATTACCAAAGTTAAAAAGAGAAGTTTTTTTTTTTCTTTTTGGGCCACTTTGCCTCGTTGGGAAATGGCCGATTTGTTGAAAGATAGATTTCTTGATTCTAACATGCTTTCAAGGATCCATATATGTACTCTCCTCATGTTCTTCCTTTAAGGTTTGTCACACCCAACAAGTCCTGACAAAATTCTTATTTTCTCTGCATCATAATATCTCGCCAATACCATGAGTTGAGCATTATCGGTACTGTCTGTTGACTCATCTAAAGCCAGTGAAATACAAGGTGCTTTTTTCAGTCCTAGATCAAGTTGTGACATAAGATCTTCTACCAATAGTTCTGTTCTTCTCGTTGATGTGGAATCCGATAATGGAATCTGCTTTATTTTGTCTTTTATCTTTTTTTTTTTTTCTGTATCCTCAGTGTATCAGCAGTTTCCAGCATACATTCTTTAACAATTTCTGCATTAGCGAAGGGTTTCTTGTGTTTTCCCAAGATCCAAGCCATTCTAAGTGAACATTCCACTGCTTTTTCCTGGGCTGTCATGGTACTGACAAGAACTACTGTTGGCCTTTCATACTGTGATTTTAGTTGATTTATTTTTTTCTTTATTCAGTTCCTGGCTGATACATCTTCTCAAATCTACTGTGTTTAGTTTCATAATGGCATTTCATATTACTGCTCTTCACTAAGCCAATTGTTTCTCTACATATGAGGCAAAGGGAAGGCTTTGGGAAGAATGAAAGCATACTGCTGTATCCATTCTTCCTTGAAGGAACGATTTTCATCATCAAACGTTCTTCTTTTTGAATGTGCCATGTCTCCTTTAAAAAGTTATGACTAGCTTAGTAGAACAAATCATTTGATATGGAAATAAATATCTGGAGCATTAAAAAACCCAAAAACTAGAAGTCATATTTAGACTAAAATAATAGAATAATAAATATGAAAATATCAATCAATTTACTTTAATAAACACAAGCTTGGTAAAGCAGTTGTCCTCTGTATTATGAAATGTATTTATTACTGAAATTTATCTGTATTTATTAAAATAAAACATGTTTTATATCCACTCCACATAAATTAGGAACAACCAGAATGAGGAAAATTTCTAACCACTTTGATTAAACATAATGTGAAGAATTTGATCACATCACGATTCAATACTAAATACCCCACCAACGTACTTATTCATAAAAGAGGTGGGCATAGCAAATTAAAATCAAACTTGCTAAGAAGAAAATGAGAAAACCCGAAATTATACCTTGCACAAACACAAATGCACAGCCTTTCCCGAAATTCAAAGTTGCACCAGGGTGGCCAGACTTCCCAGCCCATATGTGGTCAAACTCTTTTAAAAAATGCCAAAAAAAAAATAATCAACTTCATTGCACAAGTGATAATTGCCATTATGAAATACCAATGAATGGAAGAAAACATCACTATTTAGCTGTGCTAGAATACTGTATTCCATTGTGTATGCATTCCATTCAAATAGAATAATGTAGTAATCCCACTCTTGTGTACCACCTGATCCTGAATGTGTTAGCAGTTATTTAACTAAGCTTTCTCCTGAGGCCCAGAGTCCAACTACAACACTCAGAAGGTCCAGATTTGGACCGCAGGCTGCCAGTTGAGTAGCCTTGGTGTAGACTATAGTGAACACAAATGAGGCTCTTTACAGCTGTGATGATTCTATTTACGGTACTTTAGCTCACTGTTTTTACCATTTCTTTTACCTCTGTCAAATAGCACTGACTAACCCTTAGGGGATTAGCACTTTTCATGACTATAATAATTTGACTCTGTGCACAAGATGAATGAAAAGAAGTTAAAATCAATTGGAAGGAAGAGACTTAAGATTTAGAAAGGTATAAAAACTGATTGAAAAAATCTGTTTTTTTTTTTTTTGTATTTATGAAGTGTAAATATAAAATACATAATATTTCTTCTTTCCTTCTAGGATATCAGTTGGCAGAGTTTTTCAAGGCACAACCAGATGACTCTCTCACTGGTAGGTCGACTTGGAGTTGTAAAAGAGTTGGAGTGTCACAGAGGATGTGTAAACTGCATTGAATTTAATACGGAAGGCAGGTAAGATCGGAGTATGATAATCTTGCATTTATTTTCAGTGATTTCTATTTTTTATCTGCCTCAGAGACGTATGCAAAATTAAAGTGGCTAAAGCTATATAAAGATTTATAATTACATACAGTACAGTATTTGTGGAAACATATTCCACTATCTGGAATATGTAGTATATGTATTTTGTAAATAAATAATTACAGAACCTCTAACATACTCAGTATTGTAAGTGACTTTATACCTCAATTTAGAAGTGAATAGGAATGCAGTACTGTACAGGTAAGTACATATATAATGTATAATTCAAAAGGTAGCATGAATTTTTTAAACTGGTATTAACCCTTAAACTTCCCAAGCAGATCTATGTTCACATGTGTAGTGCTCCAAAAGTAGATCTACGTTTCTTTTACATATTTTCAAATATAACACAAAAAAAAAAAACGTAGATCAAAGTTTTTTTTACACGTTTTCATATGTAAAACAAAAAAATCTACTTTTTTTACATATTTTCAAATGTTGAAAAAACATAGATCTACGTTTGGATAGTTTTAGGGTTAATAGTTAAAAGTAGGTAACCCATAGGGCATACAGATGGCCATACAATACCAGTAATCTATCATAATTACTGATGACTTTAGAATCCTCAAAAACAAATAGATAAATTAGACACGTGCAACTCTTGGGTATCTTTATTGAGGAAACGTTTCGCCACGCAGTGGCTTCATCAGTCCATACGTAGGAGAAACTTGAACAGGAGGAGAATGAGGTAATCAGTCCCTCAACCTTGAGTCGATGTGTTCAGTCCATCAATCTTGAATAGAATACAGCATATCAGCGGAGAAGCAGCTTATAAACCGTATGGCAGGAGAGGTGCAGCAGTCATAGGTCGTGTTACATTTGTTCAATGTGGAAGTAGGTCGTGCCCAAGAATTAGGCAAGCGAAGAATTCCTAAGTATTAAGATCCCAAGAAGTTGCCACGCAACTTCTTGGGATCTTCTTTATTGAGGAAACGTTTCGCCACTGCGTGGCAAAACGTTTCCTCAATAAAGATACCCAAGAGTTGCACATGTGTCTAATTTATCAACATGTCAGTTCTCTGAACCATTCATCTATAAAGACAATCATTTCTTTCCCTTTTTTATGATGTCTGTACTAGTCTGTCAAATTTTTATGAAAGGTGTAGTTTGAGCCAACATCACTCATTGTTAATAAATTTTTGTTTCTTTTTAGCTTATTGCTGTCTGGGTCCGATGACTATGATGTTACACTTTGGGATGTTTATCGACAAAAGCAGTTGAAGAAATTAGCTACTGGTCATAGGGGTAATATTTTTTCTGTTAAGGTAAAGTGGCTCATTGTTTTTAAAGGTGTTACAGCACAGTATTACCATAAGTGGCAAATTTGTATTACAGCACAGTATTACCATAAGTGGCAAATTTGTTAGAGGATTTGGTGTACAATTGCTTTCTTCCTATTTTCCTCTTTTTCTCCTTGTTTCTATCATCTGGCCTGCTACTCTGCCCTTTTATCTTTCTCATTTTGGTTGCTATTTTTCTCTCTTGCTTTCCTTTCCTATATGTATATGTATTCTCTTGTGGGGCTTGAGCTCAAGGTCTTGGATGCCCTATTTCCTTTTCTAAGCATATCACATGGTCTTGACCCTCTTTACAGAAGTATTTCTTTTATTATATCTCTTTGACTTGCTAAACTGTTTACTTACCATTTGTGCTTTCTCATCCTGGTCTCATTCCTTTAGTTTCCACTTGTTTCCTTATTTTCTTCCTACCCTTTTCAAGTTGCCATTATCCTTGCCTCCTGGACTCTCTGCTTTCAGTGTGTTCTACTTTATCAACAATGACAGATTCACCAAATGTCACTTTGGAGATCGCGTACATGCATTTGCAACAATATCTTGGTAACCAGCTGTACAGTTTTGATCAAAATTGTCTCATTTTAAAGACTGGTGAACATTTTTGTGTAGAAAACACAATTTTTATTCACTGACGAGTTTGTCAGTTTTCATCTCAGCATGGCAGATCATCTAAATTCTGTATTTTCTATGTTGGGACTTTATCTTCTTTAAGCCTTATATATCCAGTGTTGAGAAGCTTAAACCTTTCAGCATGTGATTATCTGTTCATAGCTACAAAAATAAAATTATACTCAGGGTGTCCTCCTTTAATTTACATTAACCCTTAAATGGTCCAAACATATATATATGTTTTTTCAACATCTGAAAGTATGTAAAAAATGTAGATCTTTTTTGTTTTACATTTGAAAACGTGTAAAAAAAACTTTTATCTACATTTTTTTTTTGTTACATATGAAAATATGTTAAAAAAAGTAGATCTACTTTTGTAGCAATACGAATTTGAACGTCGATTTGTTTGGACCGTTTAAGGGTTAATATTATTTTATTTAACTGGTTGTTACCTGTATGTTACGCAGAAATGTGGGATGGCTGGGGGCTTGAGCTTTGTCTAAGGGCAAAGGTAAAAGTTACACACATCTCAAGCATAAACAGGCCACCCAGGGCTATCCCAGTCAAAACAGAAAGCGCTAAACCAGAATGTATTACTTCCATGGGTTGGTTAACAGAGGGTTAGGTAAAAATCCCAGTTAGGAAAATATATCTATTTATTCAACATAACACTATATACACACTCTAGAAACACCTTAATCCTAAATGCCCAAATGAGTATACACAAGAAACAGCTGGCTAGAGGTCCAGCCACCATAACACTAGGCCTAGTCACCGCCAGGCCGTCTCTACTCCACTACAAACCCCATTTCTTATTTCCTCACTCCTCCCACAGCATCCTGGCCATGTCAGAGCCTGGGTGAACATACAGGTAAGCCATAGAAGAGCCTATGGCTTGGGTTAGCTAAACAAAAGGAGTACACGACTACAAACTTAGCTCAAATACACAGGATCTCCGACGCCAGCCTCCACACCATGCTGACCCCACGTGACTCCCCCAGCCACGCTCACTCCGCATACCCAAACACCCTTGGAAAATAAATCCCTAGCAGGATTTCTTTATAATTACAGTTAGAGTACTTTACAGTGCCCCCAAATGCACATTATGAATTATAAAATTATTCTTTACAATTATAACATTCATCTATTATTATGGCACACTTCTCCACTGTATATACATTACAATGTCATGCAGAACACTGCATAACACTGTACTACCTTATTTTGGAGGCCACTATGATTAAATCAGGTATTTGTTTTACATTAGCCTTAAAATCATGCTCAGAAATATCCACCTCACTCCAGGTTCTCTGGAATTAACCTATTTTCTTCCATAAGATCCCTAAAAAGTATTTTGGTTTACTAAGGATTGTAGGAATGTACCTCACTAGGTTCTCTGAATCTACACATCTATTTTCTTCTAAAAGATCTCCAGTAAAGTGTAATTTCAGTTTCCTACTAGTTTTGTACAGGGTTTACTACATTAAATTACTGTTGTTATAATTCAGTACTTTTTTCATAAAATAAACTGCCAATACACCCCATCTTTTCAGTTTGTACCTCAGAGTGGAGACAGAATAATTATATCGGGCGCAGCTGATGGTCGCATTGAGGTACGTGAAGTGGACACTGGAGAAGTAACTCAGATATGCACTTGTCACCGAGAACGTGTCAAGAGAATTGCCACAATCCCAACTTTACCGAATGTATTTCTGTCTGCATCAGAAGATGGCACCGTTATGTAAGTTATACCTGTCCCTCTAAGTGAATGCAGTACTGTATGCCATTTGTCTATATTCACTGTTTGATGGTAGTATTCAATTATCATGCCAAAATCATTATCATTTTATAATACACTATTAATAGTAAATGGCCATATTATTGAGAAAAAATACTTTATTGAAAGAAAAAAAATTGTTGTAGATAACATTTTACTTGCAAAAGTTTCCTCAAATTTGAGACAGATACACAGGCCACTTGCCTGTTTCTGTCAGCTTTAAGAAAACTCTTAATGAGCAAATCATCTGCAATAAGGTTCTTATTCCCAGTGATTATTTTTTTCTTTTACAGTGTCAGTTATTGTTGGTCTGACTGTGAATCTTGTTTCTTACTCTCAAGACTATTAATTGACCTTCAAATTTTAGTGTGTGTGTAGCTAATGAGATGGAGTACATGTTTCAGGTTGTACGATATGCGAGCTCCCCACACATGCAATTCACAAATAAACAATGTATTAATCAACCTCCGATGCCATACTGGTCGTACTGCAGAATGCAAGTGCATAACTGTTAACCCAACTCGTCCTGAAATACTTGCAGTTGGAGCCAGTGACCCATACATAAGAATATATGACAGACGAATGATTAAGTTAACTAGTTTACCGGTAAGTGGAAATTTATTACAGTACTGAAAATTTTAATGAGTGGTCATGCATCACATAGTACAATATAATACTGCTACTACTACTACTGGTAGTTTATTTAGAAAAATACATTATATTTTGTATGAATTTAAGGAAATGGTAATTTTGGGGAGTATATTACTGTGGGTAGTAGGTTGGTAGACAGCAACCACCCAGGGAAGTACTACCGTCCTGCCAGATGACTGGGAAACAGAAACCTGTAACTGTTTTGCATGATGGTAGGATTGCTGGTTTCTTTTTCTGTCTCATAAACACGCTACATAACAGGGATATCTTGCTACTCCTACTTACACTTTGGTCACACTTCACAGACACGCACAGGCATATATATATACATACATTTAGGCTTTTCTCCTTTTTCTAAATAGTTCTTGTTCCTCTTTATTTCTTCTATTGTCCATGGGGAAGTGGAAAAGAATCTTTCCTCCGTAAGCCATGCATGTCGTATGAGGCGACTAAAATGCCGGGAGCAATGGGCTAGTAACCCCTTCTCCTGTAGACATTTACTAAAAAAGAGAAGAAGAAAAACTTTATAAAACTGGGATGCTTAAATGTGCATGGATGTAGTGCAGATGACAAGAAACAGATGATTGCTGATGTTATGAATGAAAAGAAGTTGGATGTCCTGGCCCTAAGCGAAACAAAGCTGAAGGGGGTAGGGGTTTCGGTGGGGGGAAATAAATGGGATTAAATCTGGAGTATCTGAGAGAGTTAGAGCAAAGGAAGGGATAGCAGTAATGTTGAATGATCAGTTATGGAAGGAGAAAGAGAATATGAATGTGTAAAATTCAAGAATTATGTGGATTAAAGTAAAGGTTGGATGCGAGAAGTGGGTCATAATAAGCGTGTATGCACCTGGAGAAGAGAGGAATGCAGAGGAGAGAGAGAGATTTTGGGAGATGTTAAGTGAATGTATAGGAGCCTTTGAACCAAGTGAGAGAGTAATTGTGGTAGGGGACCTGAATGCTAAAGTAGGAGAAACTTTTAGAGAGGGTGTGGTAGGTAAGTTTGGGGTGCCAGGTGTAAATGATAATGGGAGCCCTTTGATTGAACTTTGTATAGAAAGGGTTTAGTTATAGGTAATACATATTTTAAAAAAAAGAGGATAAAATAAGTATACAAGATATGATGTAGGGCGAAATGACAGTAGTTTGTTGGATTATGTATTGGTAGATAAAAGACTGTTGAGTAGACTTCAGGATGTACATGTTTATAGAGGGGCCACAGATATATCAGATCACTTTCTAGTTGTAGCTACACTGAGAGTAAAAGGTAGATGGGATACAAGGAGAATAGAAGCATCAGGGAAGAGAGAGGTGAAGGTTTATAAACTAAAAGAGGAGGCAGTTAGGGTAAGATATAAACAGCTATTGGAGGATAGATGGGCTAATGAGAGCATAGGCAATGGGATCGAAGAGGTATGGGGTAGGTTTAAAAATGTAGTGTTAGAGTGTTCAGCAGAAGTTTGTGGTTACAGGAAAGTGGGTGCGGGAGGGAAGAGGAGCGATTGGTGGAATGATGATGTGAAGAGAGTAGTAAGGGAGAAAAAGTTAGTATATGAGAAGTTTTTACAAAGTAGAAGTGATGCAAGGAGGGAAGAGTATATGGAGAAAAAGAGAGAGGTTAAGAGAGTGGTGAAGCAATGTAAAAAGAGAGCAAATGAGAGAGTGGGTGAGATGTTATCAACAAATTTTGTTGAAAATAAGAAAAAGTTTTGGAGTGAGATTAACAAGTTAAGAAAGCCTAGAGAACAAATGGATTTGTCAGTTAAAAATAGGAGAGGAGAGTTATTAAATGGAGAGTTAGAGGTATTGGGAAGATGGAGGGAATATTTTGAGGAATTGTTAAATGTTGATGAAGATAGAGAAGCTGTGATTTCATGTATAGGGCAAGGAGGAACAACATCTTGTACGAGTGAGGAAGAGCCAGTTGTGAGTGTGGGGGAAGTTCGTGAGGCAGTAGGTAAAATGAAAGGGGGTGTAAGGCAGCCGGGATTGATGGGATAAAGATAGAAATGTTTAAAAGCAGGTGGGGATATAGTTTTGGAGTGGTTGGTGCAATTATTTAATAAATGTATGGAAGAGGGTAAGGTACCTAGGGATTGGCAGAGAGCATGCATAGTTCCTTTGTATAAAGGCAAAGGGGATAAAAGAGAGTGCAAAAATTATAGGGGGATAAGTCTGTTGAGTATACCTGGCAAAGTGTATGGTAGAGTTATTATTGAAAGAATTAAGAGTAAGACGGAGAATAGGATAGCAGATGAACAAGGAGGCTTTAGGAAAGGTAGGGGGTGTGTGGACCAGGTGTTTGCAGTGAAACATATAAGTGAACAGTATTTAGATAAGGCTAAAGAGGTCTTTGTGGCATTTATGGATTTGGAAAAGGCGTATGACAGGGTGGATAGGGGGGCAATGTGGCAGATGTTGCAGGTGTATGGTGTAGGAGGTAGGTTACTGAAAGCAGTGAAGAGTTTTTACGAGGATAGTGAGGCTCAAGTTAGAGTATGTAGGAAAGAGGGAAATTATTTCCCAGTAAAAGTAGGCCTTAGACAAGGATGTGTGATGTCACCATGGTTGTTTAACCCTTTGACTGTTTCCGATGTATAAATACGTCTTACGAGCCAATGTTTCTGACGTATTTATACGCATAAATTCTAGCAGCTTCAAATCAAGCAGGAGAAAGCTGCTAGGCCCACATGTGAGAGAATGGGTCTCCATGGTCAGTGTGCACCATATAAAAAAAATCAGGGAGCCAGTGGTGCATTGTGGGAATGCCATTTCAGTTGTCATTTTTCAGCATGTCTAGTGGTAAGAAATATGTGATTCCCCAGCAAATCTGGGACTCTTCTCTTCCCAAGTGATGCTCTAACACAGATGGAAGTGTCAGTGAAGATCAATTTCATGATTTGGAGGAGTTTGAGACCAAAAGCAATGGAGGGGGAGGAGGGGAGGAAGAGGAGGAGGAGGAGGAGGAGGAGGGAAGGAAGAGGAGGAGGAGGAGGAGGAGGAGGAGGAGAAGAGGAGGAGGAGGGAAGAAGAAGATGTAATAATATTGTTCCCTTGAAGCAAGAAAAAAAAAAGTCCACCCCATGACAGTGACAAGATAAGGGGAGATAACATCTGATAAGAGCTGACTTTGATGAGCGTAAAGGAGGGTAATATTACATGACCATCGCCTCCCTTTGTTTTTGCTGGTACACAAACATTTCTGTCTGTCTATTTGTCTGTCTGTCAAGCTCCCTGTCTGTCCATCTAGCTCTCTGTCTCAGAGAGAGCCACAAGACTGTGTCATCACATTTACTCACATCTTCAAGCAGGTATAGCACTTTGTCTGGATTTCTTGGGTTATCCTAGGTAATTTACACTATGTATACTTGTATTTATGTGTACCTGTGAGACAGAGATAGCAGACAGAAAGAGAGACAGATTGAAAGATATAGAATGAGGGAGAAAGATAATTAGATAGAATGGAGGAGGGGAAGCAGCATCCGACCCCATTGTTTTGACAGGGGTAGGGGTAGTGACTAATGAGATAATATGTCACTTTGACAGCTGCCGACTTCTGACTCAAAACAATTATAAGCCACACACTCACACACAAGGAGGAGGAGGAGAAGGAGGAGGAGAAGGAGGAGGAGGAGGAGAAGGAGGAGAAGGAGGAGGAGAAGGAGGAGGAGAAGGAGGAGGAGAAGGAGGAGGAGAAGGAGGAGGAGAAGGAGGAGGAGAAGGAGGAGGAGAAGAAGGAGGAGAAGGAGGAGAAGGAGGAGAAGAAGGAGGAGAAGGAGGAGGAGAAGGAGGAGGAGAAGAAGGAGAAGAAGAAAGGGGAAGAAGGAGAGAAGAGGAGGAGAAGAAGGAGGAGAAGAAGGAGGAGAAGGAGGAGAAGAAGGAGGAGAAGGAGGAGGAGAAGAGAAGGAGGAAGAAGAAGAAGGAGAGAAAGAAGAAGAAAGAAGAAGAAGGAGAAGAAGAAGAAGGAGAAGGAAGGAAGAAGAAGAAGGAGAAGAAGAAGGAGAAGAAGAAGGAGAAGAAGAAGGAAGAAGAAGGAGAAGAAGAAGGGAAAAAGAAGAGAAGAAGAAGAAGAAGGAGAAGGAAAAAGGAGAAGAAGAAGGAGAAGAAGGAGAAGAGAAGAAGGAGAAGAGAGAAGGAGAGAAGAAGAAGGAGAAGAAGAAGGAGAAGAAGAAGGAGAAGAAGAAGGAAAGAAGAAGAAGAAGAAAAGAAGGGAAAAAGGAGAAGGAGAAGGAGAAGGAGAAGAAGAAGGAGAAGAAGGAGAAGAAGAAGGAGAAAAAGAAGAAAGGTTGAGTGTAAAGAGAAGTTTGAAACAAGAATTGAAGAAGGTGTGATTGAGGATAGAAGAGTGAAGAAAAGAAGGAAGGAATTGTTTGTTTGTGAAAAAACAACCTTTTAAATAACAATAAAGATAATATGTTTGTGAGCGTCAGTCCGCTGTTGATAAACGAGGTATTTTTTAAACATTCACCTTATTTGGTCTCATAGGCCCCAAAAATTTTTTTTTTGGACTAAAAAACAATAGGAAAAAAAACAACAAAACTTTTATAACAAAAACTAAATTTTTCGTGAAGGGCAGTCGAAGCTGTTCCAGAGGGGTCTTCTGAAACTTCAAGGTTTATATCTCGTAAGTGGGTTGGCAAAAATTATTTTTTGGGCAAAAAGGCTCAGAAAAATAAAAATTTTACAGAATAAAAGTGATTTGTTTACGTTTGCTTTTGGGCCCTGAAAGACAGTTTCTGGAGGATCTGAAAGAAGTCAAAGGGGTAATATATTTTGATAGGGGGTTTTAAGGAAGAAAATTTAAAGGGTCAGTGAAAGAGGCGTGAAGTTAAAGGATAAAGAATCACACATAAAGTGGGAGTTGTCACAGTTGCTCTTTGCTGATGACACTGTGCTCTTGGGAGATTCTGAAGAGAAGTTGCAGAGATTGGTGGATGAATTTGGTAGGGTGTGCAAAAGAAGAAAATTGAAAGTGAATACAGGAAAGAGTAAGGTTATGAGGATAACAAAAAGATTAGGTGATGAAAGTTTGGATATCAGATTGGAGGGAGAGAGTATGGAGGAGGTGAATGTATTCAGATATTTGGGAGTGGACGTGTCAGCGGATGGGTCTATGAAAGATGAGGTGAATCATAGAATTGATGAGGGGAAAAGAGTGAGTGGTGCACTTAGGAGTCTGTGGAGACAAAGAACTTTGTCCTTGGAGGCAAAGAAGGGAATGTATGAGAGTATAGTTTTACCAACACTCTTATATGGGTGTGAAGCATGGGTGATGAATGTTGCAGCGAGGAGAAGGCTGGAGGCAGTGGAGATGTCATGTCTGAGAGCAATGTGTGATGTGAATATAATGCAGAGAATTCGTAGTTTGGAAGTTAGGAAGAGGTGCGGGATTACCAAACTGTTGTCCAGAGGGCTGAGGAAGGGTTGTTGAGGTGGTTCGGACATGTGGAGAGAATGAAGCGAAACAGAATAACTTCAAGAGTGTATCAGTCTGTAGTGGAAGGAAGGCGGGGTAGGGGTCGGCCTAGGAAAGGTTGGAGGGAGGGGGTAAAGGAGGTTTTGTGTGCGAGGGGCTTGGACTTCCAGCAGGCATGCGTGAGCGTGTTTGATAGGAGTGAATGGAGACAAATGGTTTTTAATACTTGACGTGCTGTTGGAGTGTGAGCAAAGTAACATTTATGAAGGGGTTCAGGGAAACCGGCAGGCCGGACTTGAGTCCTGGAGATGGGAAGTACAGTGCCTGCACTCTGAAGGAGGGGTGTTAATGTTGCAGTTTAAAAACTGTAGTGTAAAGCACCCTTCTGGCAAGACAGTGATGGAGTGAATGATGGTGAAAGTTTTTCTTTTTCGGGCCACCCTGCCTTGGTGGGAATCGGCCAGTGTGATAATAATAAAAAAAAATAATATTACTGTAGAGACCATAGTATGCACATTTTTAAGCAAAGGTTGAGTTGAAGACTATTATACACATTGCCAGGCATTAGTCAGCATGAGGAGCATATAGGTGGTGCATTGAGGCATCTGTGGAGACAAAAAACATTATCTATGAAGGCAAAAAGGGAATTTATCAGAGTATAGTATGAAGAAGTTGTATGGGTGTAAAGTACAGTGGACCCATGCATAACGATGGCATCACATAGCGATTAATCCGCATACCGCTTGCTTTAATCGCAAAAATTTTGCCGCGCATACCGATTAAAAACCCGCTCACCGATTTTCATCCGAGACGCGTCCAATGTGCGCCCTCAGCCAGCCTCACATGTGCCGCCCGTGCCATTGTTTACCAGCCAGCCTCCGCGGTAACATCCAAGCATACACTCGGAATATTTCGTATTATTAGTGTTTTCGGTGCTGTTTCTGGAAAATAAGTGACCATGGGCCCCAAGAAAGCTTCTAGTGCCAACGGTACACCAATAAGGGTGAGAATTCCAATAGAAATGAAGAAAGAGATCATTGATAAGTATGAAAGTGGAGTGCGTATCGCCGACCTAGTCAAGTTGTACAAGAAACCCCAATCAACCATCGCTACTATTGTGGGCACCAGAAAGACAATCAAGGAAGCTGTTCTTGCCAAAGGTTTAACTGTGTTTTCGAAACAAAGATCGCAAGTGATGGAAGATGTTGAGAGACTCTTATTGGTGTGGATAAATGAAAAACAGCTAGCAGGAGATAGCGTCTCTCAAGCGATCATATGTGAAAAGGCTAGGAAGTTGCATGAGGATTTAATTAAAAAAATGCCTGCAACTAGTGATGATGTGAGTGAATTTAAGGCCAGCAAAGGTTGGTTTGAGAGATTTAAGAAGCGTAGTGGCATCCATAGTGTGATAAGGCATGGTGAGGCTGCCAGTTCGGACCACAAAGCGGCTGAAAAATATGTGCAGGAATTCAAGGAGTACATAGACAGTGAAGGACTGAAACCTGAACAAGTGTTTAATTGTGATGAAACAGGCCTGTTCTGGAAGAAAATGCCAAGCAGGACCTACATTACTCGGGAGGAAAAGGCACTCCCAGGACATAAGCCTATGAAAGACAGGCTTACTTTGTTGATGTGTGCCAATGCTAGTGGTGATTGCAAAGTTAAGCCTTTATTACTGTATCACTCTGAAACTCCCAGAGCGTTCAGGCAAAAGAATGTCCTCAAGGATAATTTGTGTGTGCTGTGGAGGGCAAACAGTAAGGCATGGGTCACTAGGGACTTTTTCTATAACTGGTTACACCATGCATTTGCCCCCAATGTGAAAGATTACCTAACCGAAAAGAAATTAGAACTTAAGTGCCTCCTGGTGTTAGACAATGCCCCTGGTCATCCTACAGACTTGGCAGAGCGACTTTATGGGGACATGAGCTTCATTAAGGTGAAGTTTTTGCCTCCTAATACCACTCCTCTCCTGCAGCCCATGGACCAGCAGGTTATTGCAAACTTCAAAAAACTGTACACAAAAGCTCTGTTTGAAAGGTGCTTTGTAGTGACCTCAGAAACTCAACTGACTCTAAGAGAGTTTTGGAGAGAGCACTTTAATATCCTCAATTGTGTAAACCTTATAGGCAAGGCTTGGGAGGGAGTGACTAAGAAGACCTTGAACTCTGCTTGGAAGAAACTGTGGCCAGAATGTGTAGACAAAAGGGATTTTGAAGGGTTTGAGGCTAACCCTGAGAGGATTATGCCAGTTGAGGAATCCATTGTGGCATTGGGAAAGTCCTTGGGGTTGGAGGTTAGTGGGGAGGATGTGGAAGAGTTGGTGGAGGAGGACAATGAAGAACTAACCACTGATGAGCTGATAGATCAACTTCAACAGCAAGAGGCCAGACCTGAGGAAACTGGTTCAGAGGAGGGGAGAGAGAAATTGAAGAAGTTGCCTACTACAAAGATTAAGGAAATCTGTGCAAAGTGGCTTGAAGTGCAAACCTTCATGGATGAAAACCACCCTCACACAGCTATTGCAAGCCGTGCTGGTGATTATTACACTGACAATGTTGTGAAACACTTTAGGGAAGTCATAAAGGAACGAGAGGTACAGGCCACTATGGACAGATATGTTGTGCGAAAGAAGTCCAGTGACTCTGAAGCTGGTCCTAGTGGCATTAAAAGAAGAAGGGAAGTAACCCCAGAAAAGGACTTGCCACCTCAAGTCTTAATGGAAGGGGATTCCCCTTCTAAACACTAACACACTCTCTCCCCTCCTCCCATCCCATCAATCATCACCAGATCTTCAATAAAAGTAAGTGTCATGTAAGTGTGCATGCCTTTTTCAGTTTGTGTGTATTAAAATTAACATTTCATGTGGTAAAAAAATTTTTTTTTCATACTTTTGGGTGTCTTGCACGGATTAATTTTATTTCCATTATTTCTTATGGGGAAAATTCATTCACATACCGATTATTTCGCATAACAATTACCCCTCTTGCACGGATTAAAATCGTTATGCGGGGGTCCACTGTATGGGATTTAAATGTTGCAATGAGGAGGAGGTTGGTTTCATTACAAATACAAATAAAATAGAAATGTTTATTTTTCTACATTTGTAAATTCAAATAAAACTACATATTTGATCCCATTTCACTCATGGTGAAGCAGTTTCTTACCAAATTCGTACTGCAGTGGAACCTCAAATATCGAACTCCTCCCAACTCAACCAATTATGTAAGTGTATTTTTGTAAGTGCTTTTGTAAGTTTATTTTTGAGGGTCTGAAATGAACTAATCTAATTTACATTATTCCTGTTGGGAATAAATTCGTTCGGTAACGGCACTCGAACAGCCGTCTGGAACGAAGAAAGTTCGATATTCGAGGTTCCACTGTACAGCATATCCTGTGTTCTTTATGTACTCAGAGTGTTTGCAGTTTATATACTGTCCTGCTGTTAATTTTTCAGAGCTGGGATTAATTTTTGTGTGGTTTCAGTACCCTCCAGGAGGAATGTTACAGAGTCAGTGGGAGAGAACTAACTATGCCAACAGTCAACTTGATGCCTCATCAGATAACCTCCCTCCAGGCTGTGTTCAGTATTTTGTACCAGGTCAGTTTCTATATTTAATATAAAAATTTTAATGGTAGTTTCCATTATTTAACCCTTTCAGAGTCCAGAGGCCGAATTTCAAAGTGTGCACCAGGGTCCAAGAATTTTAAAAAAATAATTTTGTTATTTTTTCTTATGAAATGGTAGAGAATCTTTTTCTGAAGGTAATAAAACAAAAAGTACAAAATTTGATGGAAAATTGACGAAATTATGCTCTCACGAATTTTGATGTGTCGGCGATATTTACACATCGGCAATTTTGCCGACTTTGACTCCCATTTTAGGGCAATTACAGTATTCCAGTCAACCAAATTCTTAGCTATTTTACTAGTATTACTTCTATCGATTGAGCACAAGAAATTGCCAAGTCAACTGTTTCAACAACAAAATAAAGTGACTGGAAATTGGTAATTTGGCCAATTTAATGCAAAGTTCAAAATATTCCAATTTCAAAATAAGGTCCAAAATAAACAATACAGGCATTCCTGGCACTAAACTAACATTTCTTCTGTTCATTAGTTACGTTTTCAGGCTTTACAAATGAATTCCATTTTTATTTTTTATTCACATAATGAATTTTTATTCAAACCAAAAAATAGAAGATTTACTGTTATGCAATACTGTAATAATTGTATAAATAATATCACCACATTTGTGAATGTATATTAGACCCACCAGCTATTATGTATTAGACTTGTGAGGTCATTTGTTTACTCTTGAACATCGGCAAAAATTTAACATTTCCGCTACTTTGAGCTCAGTTTCAAGCCATTTCCAGTACTAAAACCAATCAAAATCATCTCTATTTCTGTAGATATTTTCTTTTCTTTTAAAGGACAAAAAATTTGAAAACAAACTATAAAAAACATACAAAAAAAAACACTGAAAAAAAGTCGCTTTTTTAATCAAAAATTACGGTCTCTTTTTTTTTTTTTTTTCTCTTTATCCTGTGTGCTGGGATTTGTTTTATGGGTGCAACTTTCCACTAGATGATTCTATATCTACCCCCAAATTTACGCTAAAAGTTACAGATAAGTGAGTCGGGGCGTAAATCTGGGGTTTTGACCCTAACAAAAGCTGTAGTCTTCGACATGGACCCTGAAAGGGTTAAGGAGTATCAGTTAATTTTTGAGGTATTGGTATAAACCCAAAAATGAGTACAGTATCGATTAAACCCTAAAACTAAATATCAAATCTATTAGCAAAAATTTTATCTTTACCTTTCCCTGTTTGAAAGGAAAGTAAATAAAGAATGGCTAGCCTTTATCAGAAAAATTTTTTTTTAGTTTAAAAAAAAACGTTTTGAGAGATTATGTTATAAAAACCCGGGAGAGCAAATGACTTTGCAGTTAAAAATGAAATAGGTGAGGTTTTCGTTAGGTAGGTGTGGATATTGGAAAGAGGAAGTGAATATTTTGAGTTGCTAAATATTGATAATGACAAGCTGATTTTATGAAGGACAAGAAGAAATAGACTGATAAAAAGGGGGAATACAGTTTAATTTCTGACTGCACCATTTTGCCATTCTAGGACTTCAAGTCCAGCTAACCAGTTTCCCTGAATCCTTTCATAAAAGTTACCGTGCTTGCACATAGATTGAATGAATGATAAATGTATTTTTTTCTTCAGGTCATCCTGTCTTGGTGAAAGATGGCCATTGAGATAAAAAAAAAAAAAGGAAAGTGGGAAGATTTAGAGTACTTTATTTTGCTAATATTTTAATAGCTTATATTTGTTTTCCTTACATTTCAGGTCATTTACCAGACAAGTTAAAGGAATACTACCGTCGCTATAGGACATTAGCAACAACTTACTTGACTTACAGTGCAGATGGCACAGAGCTCCTGGCTAATTTGGGAGGGGAACATATCTACCTCTTAAACCCTGCAAACCCTCAGTATCCCAGGGTTTACACTGCTAGCGTAACTGCAAAGCATCAGTTTCATTCTAAAGGTAAGAAAAGACTGCTGCTCATCCATTTTCTCAAACACATGCAGTGGTAGACTGCCAAGATATGATCCAAGAGGTAGTATGTGCTACAAGCACCAGAAATATTCTTATAATGTGACTCCTTCCTGCTTCCCTTTTTTTTTTTTATTAGCTTTGCTCTTGTAATTACAAAGATAACTGCACACTTGAGTTCTTGTGGATAGAATCCTAATAACCTATGTGGTTTTGTGAAGGAAATGGACCATGATAAAGTGAGGTACAATATTATCAGCATGTAACCAATGTTGTGTGGAAGAACTGGCAAACAGAAGCGAAGTGATCAAATGACAGAAGAAGGAAGTATATTGGTTGAAACACTCATGTATACAGTGGACCCCCGCTTAATGATCACCTCCCAATGCGACCAATTATGTAAGTGTATTTATGTAAGTGCGTTTGTACGTGTATGTTTGGGGGTCTGAAATGGACTAATCTACTTCACAATATTCCTTATGGGAACAAATTCAGTCAGTACTGGCACCTGAACATACTTCTGGAATGAAAAAATATTGTTAACCGGGGGTCCACTGTATATGCTCTAGTATATGGGAACACTGTGGGTCCCTGATAGTGATCTTATAATAAAATCTTTAAAAAATTAAATATGAGAAATGAAATTGCTTCAGATTTGAGCAGAAAGCCTTGAAACAAGTTTGTTATTTTTAGTTTCTTGGTTGTAGTATGTAATGTGTTGTCATTAGTGCTGAAGACCACTTAAAAAGCCTTACTCAGATTTTTGTGCCATTCCCAAATTTCTAACATAGTATATTTTATGATGTCTTTATGAAATTACCAATGTTAGTACTAATGTATTAATGCATTAGTAAGGAGAAGGGATGACGATAAGTATTTCAAGTATCTTTCATTAACGGATGCATTGTTTTGTTTAACTTTGCGAAGGCTAGTGGACGAGTTTGGGAGGGTGTGTAAAGGTAGAAAGTTGAAAGTGAATGTAGATAAGAGCAAGGTGATGAGGGTATCAAATGATTTAGATAAAGAAAAATTGGATATCACAGTGGAGGGAGGGAGTATGGAAGAAGTAATTGTTTTCAGATATTTGGGAGTTGACTTGTCAGCAAATGGGTTTATGAAGGATGAGGTAAACCATAGAATTGATGAAGGAAAAAAAGTGAGTGGTGCATTGAGGTATGTGTGGAGACAAAGAACTTTATCCATGGAGGCAAAGAAGGGAATATATGAGAGTATTGTGGTACCAATACACTTAAAGTGGAGATGTCATGTCTAAGGGCAGTGTGTGTGGTGTAAATATTATGCAGATAATTTGTAGTATGGAAATTAGGAGGTGTGGAGTTACTAAAAGTATTAGTCAGAGGGCTGAAGAGGGGCTGTTGAGGTGGTTTGGTCATTTAGAGAGAATGGAACAAAGTAGAATGACTTGGAGAGCGTATAAATCTGTTGGGGAAGGAAGGTGGGGTAGGGGCCGTCCCTGAAAAAGTTGGAGGGAGGGGGTAAAGGAGGTTTTGTGGGCGAGGGGCATGGACTTCCAGCAAGCGTGCATGAGCATGTTAGATAAGTTTTTGGGATCTGACAAGTGCTGGAGTATGAGCAGGGTAATATTTTGTGAAGGGATTCAGGGAAACCGGTTAGCTGGACTTGAGTCCTGGAAATAGGAATACAGTGCCTGCACTTTAAAGGAGGGGTTTAGCATATTGGCAGTTTGGAGGGATGTCTGAACTGTTATATCCGAGTGCCTTTGCAAAGACAGTGATTATGTATGAGTGATGGTGAAAGTGTTGTATGATGAAAGTTTTTTCTTTCTTTTTGGGTTTTTCTTTCCTTTGGGTCACCTTGCCTCAGTGGGAAAAAAAAAAAATTGCGCATTAGTTTAAATACTGTATCTAGTATGACGGTTAGATTTTTTCAATAATTTCAGAATCTGATGGGCCTTCAAATGGAGTTTGTAAATCAGTTACTGCTACTACCAATGGTATATCCTGCCACCTCACAGGTGGAGTAGACCGACTGCCTTCATATTCAAACGCATCAGTGCCTCCTCTACCCCCTCAAGCAGAAACGTTGAAGGCCAGGGCTAACCAAGCTTTTGCAGCCGAGAAATATATCACTGCCCTCCAGCTGTATAATCAAGCAGCAGAGTTAAGCCCAAATTCTGCAGTTCTTTATAGCAATAGAGCTGCAGCACTAATGAAGAGAAAGTGGTGAGTTTTATTGAAAGTTTAAGATAAATCATTATGAAGTGTTTTTTTTTTATATATCTATATATATATAATTTTAATTTTTATTTTTTTTTATTTTCACACACTGGCCATCTCCCATTGAACTGAGATAGTGACCTAAAAAAGAAGAAATACTTTCACCATCACTTGCTTCATCACCATCGTGCCAGAGGTACACTGATATTAGAGCTCAGATGCCCTTCCAGACTGCAATATTCCTACCCCTCCTTCAGAGTGCAATATTTTACTTCTCACTCCCAGGGCTCAAAGTTTGGCTAACTGGCTTCCCTGAATTCCTCCACATATATTACCTTGCTCACACTCCAACAGCATGGCATCATAAAAACCACTTGCCTCCACTCCTATCTAAGACACACACACACCTGTTGAATGTCCAAGCCCCTTGCATGCAGAACCTCCTTTGCCCCCTTCCGCCAACCTTTCTTGGGATGACCCTTACCCTGCCTTCCCTCCACTACACATTTATACACCCTCTGTCATCCTATTTTGCTCTATCCTCTCTAAATATCCAAACCATCTCAATAACCCCTGTTTAGCCCTCTGGATAATACTTTCAGTAACTCTGCAACTCCACACCATCTAACCTCCAAACTACACATTTTCTGCATAATATTCACATCACACAATGCCCTCAGACATGACATCTCCACTGCTTCCAGCCTCCTCCTTACTGTAACATTTAAAAATTATGTATCATATCCATATGAGAGTGTTGGTACCACACTAATGCATTCTCCTTTTTTGCCTCCATGGATAATGTTCTTTGTCTCTACGGATGCCTAAATGCACCACCCATCTTTTTTATGTCATCATTTCGGTGGTTCACCTCATCTTACATGAACCCGTCCACTGACAATCCACTCCCAAATATCCAAACATATTCACTGCCTCCATGCTTCCTCCTTACAGTCTGATATCCAGTCTTTCATTTTCTAAATTTTTTGTTACTCTCTTCACTTTGCTCTTTCCTGTATTCACTTTTACTTTCCTTCTTATATGTACCCTCCCAGATTCATCCACCAGCTTTTGCAACTTCTCTTTAGAATTTCCCAGAAGCACCATGTCATCGGTGAAAAGCAACTGTGACAACTCCCACTTGTATTAGATTCTTTCTTTTAATCCCACGCCTCTCTCCAACACACTAGCATTCACTTCTTTTACATCCCCCACCTCCTCTTCTTTCAACACACCAGCTGTATCCTATCATACATTTTTAATGGCGTACTCAGACTTGCTCCTCTATAATTCTTACTCTTTTATCCCCTTTTTCTTTATGCAAATGAACTATGCATGATCTCTGCCAGTCCCTAGGTACCTTCCCTCCCTTTCATACATTTATTGAACAAATGCACCAACCACTCCAAAAATTTTTTAATTCCTTCATTAAACTGATCTAGAGATTTGTAACATTAATGTACTTCTAACAGGGCATCTTCTTAGTGAGTGTAAATGTTTTCTTCTTTGGGTCATGTTACCTTGGTTGGAAATGACTTAGTTTAGTAATTACTAGACAAATAGTCCCCTCTTGTACGTACTTCACAAAAATTGAGGAAAATAGAGCTTTGATTTATTTTTGTAAATTAAATAACTCCACTAGGATATATGCTTTTAAAACTATTTATTTTATTCTTGTGTGATTGAACAAGGTATCCCTGTCCCTCAATCTTTTTTGTCCCTAATTCCAGCATATTTAAATATTTTTTTAGGAAATGTTCTTGAAATCTGATTCCTTCCTACTTCACTCTTTTTTTTGGCAGGGAGTAATGGAATGTACTGGGGTATATGTAGGAGCATGTGAGAGAGTGAGTGAGAAATTATTGGAAATGGGAAATACAATGCTTGCACTTTAAAGGAAGGGTTTGGGATAGTGGCAGTTTGGAGGGACTTCTGAACTGTCATATCTGATTGCCTCTGCAAAGACAGTAATTATGTATGACTGAGGTGAAAGTGTTGAATGATGATGAAAGTATTTTCTTTTTGGGGATTTTCTTTCTTTTTGGGTCACCCTGTCTCGGTGGAAGATGACCGATGTGTTAAAAAAAAAAAAAAAAAAAAAAAAAAAGCTATGGTTGTGGTGTCATCACCTTACTCTTTTCACTACAGTTATAAAACTGCAATATTAACACCCCTCCTTCAGAATGTAGACACTGTACTTCCCATCTCCAGGACTCGAGTCCGGCCTGCCGGTTTCCCTGAATCCCTTCATAAATGTTACTTTGCTCACACTCCAACAGCTCGTCAAGTATTAAAAACCATTTGTGTCCATTCACTCCTATCAAATATGCTCACGCATGCTGGCTGGAAGTCCAAGCCCCTCGCACACAAAACCTCCTTTACCCCCTTTCTAGGCCGACCCCTACACCGCCTTCCCTCCGCTACAGATTTATACACTCGAAGTCATTCTGTTTTGTTCCATTCTCTCTACATGTCCGAACCACCTCAACAACCCCTCCTCAGCCCTCTGGACAATAGTTTTGGTAATCTCACATCTTCTAATTTCCAAACTACAAATATTTATTTTTATTTATTAACACACTGGCTGATTCCCACCAAGGCATGGTGGCCCAACAAAGAAAAACTTTCACCATCATTCACTCCATCACTGTCTTGCCAGAAGGGTGCTTTACACTACAGTTTTTAAACTGCAACATTAACACCCCTCCTTCATCTTACAGGCACTGTACTTCCCATCTCCAGGACTCAGGTCCAGCCTGCCGGTTTCCCTGAATCCCTTCATAAATGTTACTTTGCTCACCCTCCAACAGCACGTCAAGTATTAAAAACCATTTGTATCCATTCACTCCTATCAAATATGCTCACACATGCTGGCTGGAAGTCCAAGCCCCTCGCACACAAAACCTCCTTTACCCCCTCCCTCCAACCTTTCCTAGGCCGACCCCTACCCTGCCTTCCTTCCACTACAGACTGATACACTCTTTGAAGTCATTCTGTTTCGCTCCATTCTCTCTACATGTCCGAACCATCTCAACAACCCTTCCTCAGCCCTCTGGACAACAGTTTTGGCAATTCTGCACCTCCTCCTAACTTCCAAACTACAGATACTCTGCATTATATTCACACCACACATTGCCCTCAGACATGACAACTGCACTGCCTCCAGCCTTCTCCTCGTTGCAACATTCATCACCCATGCTTCACACCCATACAAGAGTGTTGGTACAACTATACTCTCATACATTCCCCTCTTTGCTTCCACAGACAAAGTTCTTAGTCTCCACAGACTCCAAAGTGCACCACTCACCCTTTTTCCTTCATCAATTCTATGATTCACCTCCTTCATAGACCCATCTGCTGACACGTCTACTCCTAAATATCTGAATACATTCACCTCCTCCATACTCTCTCCCTCTAATCTGAAATTCAATCTTTCGTCACCTAATCTTTTTGTTATCCTCATAACCTTATTCTTTATTATATTCACTTTCAATTTTAATCTCTTACATACCCTACCAAATTCATCCACCAACCTCTGCAACTTCTCTTCAGAATCTCCCAAAAGCACAGTGTCATCAGCAAAGAGCAACTGTGACAACTCCCACTTTGGGTTTGATTCTTTATCTTTTAACTCCACACTTCTTGCCAAGACCCTCGCATTCACTTCCCTTACAACCCCATCTATAAATATATTGAACAACCACGGTGACATCACACATCCTTGTCTAAGGCCTACTTTTACTGGTATAAACGTTTTCTGTATAAACATTTAAAAATATACTAAAAATGTTATAAATAGTGCAAAGGTGACATTAAAACGATATCAAACATGGTCGACACAAACCCGCTACCATTATAGTACGCTCCTTGCTTAGCAACAAATTCATTTACCAACGTAGTCTTAGGAACGTAATTCCATCGTTAAGTGACTAGAGGCTGCATATATTTTTTAACAGATTATTTCTTGTTGAACATAGAATTTAGGTTTTGTAATACAGTGGACCCTCGACCAACGATATTAATCCGTTCCTGAGAGCTCATCGTTAATCGAAATTACCGTTAGTCAAGTTAATTTTCCCCATAAGAAATAATGGAAATCGAATTAATACATTCCTGACACCCCAAAGTATTGAAAAAAAAAATTTTTACCACATGAAATATTAATTTTAATACACAGAAACTGAAGAAGACATGCACAGTTACATGACACTTACCTTTATTGAAGATCTGGTGATGATTGATGGGATGGGAGGAGGGGAGTGTGTTGATGGTGTTAGTGTTTAGAAGGGGAATCCCCTTCCATTAGGATTTGAGGTGGCAAGTCCTTTTCCAGGGTTACTTCCCTTCTTGTAGGTAGTAGGTTGGTAGACAGCAACTGCCCAGGGAGGTACTACCGTCCTGCCGAGTGAGTGTAAAACGAAAGCCTGTAATTGTTTTACATGTTGGTAGGATTGCTGGTGTCCATTTTTCTGTCTCATGAACATGTAAGGTTTCAGGTACGTCTTGCTACTTCTACTTACACTTAGGTCACACTACACGTACATGTACAAGCATATATATACATACATACCCCTCTGGGCTTTCTTCTATTTTCTTTCTAGTTCTTGTTCTTGTTTATTTCCTCTTATCTCCATGGGGAAGTGGAACAGAATTCTTCCTCTGTAAGCCATGCGTGTCATAAGAGGCGACTAAAATGCTGGGAGCAAGGGGCTAGTAACCCCTTCTCCTGTATATATTACTAAATGTAAAAGGAGAAACTTTCGTTTTTCCTTTTGGGCCACCCTGCCTCGGTGGGATACAGCCGGTGTGTTGAAAGAAAGAAAGAAAGAAAGACTTCCCTTCTTCTTTTAATGCCACTAGGACCAGCTTGAGAGTCACTGGACCTCTGTCGCACAACATACCTGTCCATTGAGGCCTGTACTTCCCATTCCTTTATGACATTCCTAAAGTGTTTCACAACATTGTCAGTGTACAGGTTGCCAACATGGCTTGCAGTAGCTGTGTCAGGGTGATTTTCATCAAAAAAGGTTTGCACTTTAAGCCACATTGCACACATTTCCTTAATCTTAGAAGTAGGCAACTTCTTCAATTTCTCTACCCCCTCCTCCGAAGCAGTTTCCTCAGGTGTGGCCTCTTGCTGTTGAGGATGATCTAGCAGCTCATCAGTGGTTAGTTTTTCATTGTCCTCCTCCACCAACTCTTCCACATCATCCCCACTAACCTCCAACCCCAAGGACTTCCCCAATGCCACAATGGATTCCTCAACTGGCATAGGATTCTCAGGGTTAGCCTCAAACCCTTCAAAATCCCTTTTGTCTACACATTCTGGCCACAGTTTTTTCCAAGCAGAGTTCAAGGTCCTCTTAGTCACTTCCTCCCAAGCCTTACCTATAATGTTTACACAATTGAGGATGCTAAAGTGATCTCTCCAAAACTCTCTTAGAGTCAGTTGAGTTTCTGAGGTCACTACAAAGCACCTTTCAAACAGAGCTTTTGTGTACAGTTTCTTGAAGTTTGCAATGACCTGCTGGTCCATGGGCTGCAGGAGAGGAGTGGTATTAGGAGGCAAAAACTTCACCTTAATGAAGCTCATGTCCGCAGAAAGTCGCTCTGCCAAGTCTGAAGGATGACCAGGAGCATTGTCTAATACCAGGAGGCACTTAAGGTCCAATTTATTTTCCAGGAGGTAATTTTTCACAGTGGGGGCAAATGCATGGTGTAACCAGTCATAAAAAAAGTCCCTAGTGACCCATGCCTTACTGGTTGCCCTCCACAGCACACACAAATTAGCCTTGAGGACATTGTTTTTCCTGAACACTCTGGGAGTTTCAGAGTGATACACCAATAAAGGCTTCACTTTGCAATCACCACTAGCATTGGCACACATCAACAGAGTAAGCCTGTCTTTCATAGGCTTATGTCCTGGGAGTGCCTTTCCTCCTGAGTAATGTAGGTCCTGCTTGGCATTTTCTTCCAAAACAGGCCTGTTTCGTCACAATTAAACACTTGTTCAGGTTTCAGTCCTTCACTGTCTATGTACTCCTTGAATTCCTGCACATATTTTTCAGCCGCTTTGTGGTCCGAACTGGCAGCCTCGCCATGCTTTATCACACTATGTATGTCACTACGATTCTTAAATCTCTCAAACCAACCTTTGCTGGCTTTAAATTCACTCACATCACCACTAGTTGCTGGCATTTTTTTAATTAAATCATCATGCAACTTCCTAGCCTTTTCACATATGATCGCTTGAGAGATGCTATCTCCTGCTATCTGTTTTTCATTTATCCACACCAATAACAGTCTCTCAACATCTTCTATCACTTGCGATCTCAGTTTCGAAAACATAGTTGCACCTTTGGCAAGAACAGCTTCCTTGATTGCCGTTTTCTTGCCCACAATAGTAGTGATGGTTGATTGGTGTTTTGTGTACAACCTGGCCAGCTCGGAGACACGCACTCCACTTTCATACTTAGCACTGATCTCTTTCTTCATCTCCATAGTAATTCTCACCCTTTTTGCTGTAGGGTTGGCACTAGAAGCTTTCTTGGGGCCCATGGTGACTTATTTTGCAGGTGCAATCACTACAAACGCTGTGATAATATGAAATGTTCCGATTGTATGTTTGGATGGGACCGCAATGGCTGGCTGGCTTGTAAACATTGGCACCCACGGGACAAGTGAGGCGCGCTCTGGCCACAAGTGGACGCATCTCGAACGGAATGAATAGCGTTGGTCGGGTTTTTTAGTGCTAGTCGAGGCAAAATTTTTGTGTTAAAATGTATCGCTAGTCGGATTTAACGATGCCAACGTTGGTCGAGGGTCCACTGTACTTCATATTTATTTTTTCTTTAATGTTTTGTGTTACATTATCTGTCTATGGTTGCTACCACATCAACTATTTTCCACTACACATTACATTATACAAGTATCAATTTACATTCATAAAATGTAATCTTTACAACTGAAAAGAAATGCTAATATAGTTTTTCTAATAGGGAAGGTGATATATATGCTGCATTAAGGGATTGCTTCACTGCACTTGACATTGATCCACACCATGTTAAAGCACACTTTAGGTAAGTTTTATAATGGTCATGCATAATTTATTGGCCCTTGGTTAAAAGATGTTTGTAATTACACATTTGCTGCCACAAGAGCAGTGTCTAAGCTTGTGGTTTCCATTATTTACTTTTTCTTCTCCCAACACGTTTATAAATGAGGTTGTAAAAGAAGTGAGCTAGATACGAAATGGGAGTTGTCATAGTTACTCTTTGCTGATATTATGGTTCTTTTGGGAGATTTGGAAGACTAGTTTCAAAGGTTGGTGGATGAATTTGGGAGGGTAGAGAGGAGAGAAAGAGATTTTGGGAAATGTTAAGTGAGTGCTTGGGGAGTTTTGAACCAAGTGTGAGAGTACTTGTGGTTGGGGATTTCAATGCTAAAGTGGGTAAAAATGTTGTGGAGGGCATAGCAGGTAAATGTGGGGTGCCAGGGGTAAATGAAAATGGGGAGCCTTTAATTGAGCTATGTGTAGAAAGAGGTTTGGTAATAAGTAATACATATTTCATGAAAAAGAAAATAAATAAGTATACAAGGTATGATATAGCATGTAATGAAAGTAGTTAGATTATGTATTGGTGGATAAAAGGTTGATGGGTAGGCTTCAGGATGTACATGTTTATAGAGCGGCAACTGATATATTGGATCATTATTTAGTTGTAGCTACAGTTAAAGTAAGAGGTAGATGGGACAGAAGGAAAATGGCAAGAACAATTAAGAGAGGTGAAAGTATAAATTAAAGGAGGAGGAAGTTAGGGTGAGATATAAGCAGCTATTGGCAGAAAGGTGGGCTAGTGCAAGTATGAGTAGTGGGGGGGTTGAAGAGGGTTGGAATAGTTCTAAAAATGCAGTATTAGAATGTGGGGCAGAAGTTTGTGGCTATAGGAGAGTGGGTCCAGGAGGAAAGAGGAGTGATTGGTGGAATGATGAAGTAAAGGGTGTGATAAAAGAGAAAAAGGTGGCTTATGAGAGGTTTTTACAAAAGTGTTATAAGAAGAGCAGAGTATATGGAGAGTAAAAGTAAGGTGAAGAGAGTGGTGAGAGAGTGCAAAAGGAGAGAAGATAGATTGGGAGAGGCACTGTCAAGAAATTTTGATGAAAACAAGAAAAAATTTTGGAGTGAGATAAAAAAGTTAAGAAAGCCTAGGGAACAAATGGATTTGTCAGTTAAAAGCAGAGTAGGGGAATTAGTAAATGGGGAGCTGGAGGTATTGGGTAGGTGGCGGGAATATTTTGAGAAAATTTTAAATCAATGAAGAAAGGGAGGTGGTAATTTTGTAAAAATTTGTGTAAAAACTGACAAAAAATAGTCATTAATAAGGAATACATTTCCAGTTCCGTTATCCGTCAGCTGTCCATTCCCAATTTTCAGAGGTCCTACTTTTTCCTTCACCTTCGTCCTATACACTTGAAAGAACCCCTTTGGATTAGTCTTTGATTCATTAGCAACTCTAATTTCATAGTTACATTTAGCCTTTCTAATCCCCTTTTTTACTTCTCTTTTAACCCTTTGACTGTTTCAGGCCCCTTTCTGAAACTGTCATTCTATGTCACTAAATTTTTGAAAAAAAAAAAAAATGATTTTTTTCTTATGAAATGATAGAGAATCTTTTCCCGATGGTAATGACACCAAAAGTTCGAAATTTGGTCGAAAACTCATGGAATTACGCTCCCGCGAAGTTAGCGGTCTCGGCGACATATGCGTATCGGCGATTTTGCCAACTTTGAGTCCTATTTTCAGCCAATTCCGTTGTTCCAGTTGACCAAACTCATAGCTATTTCTTTAGAACTCCATTTTATCTATCAGCTGAGTACAAGAAACCTCCCATTTACCAATTTGGACTACCCAATATTGTGGTCAGAAATTGGCAATTTGGCCAATTTCATGCAAACTAAAAAATATGCCAATTTCAAAATAGGGTCCAGAATAAACAAGGTAGACATTCTTGGCACTAAAATAACATATCATCTGTTCATTAGTCACATCTCTATGTCCCTCTTATATTATTATTGCTTTCTATTTTGATTTTTTATTCATACAAAAAAATACAAAATTTACTGTTATGCAGACTACTGCATTATTGTAAAAATGGTATAAATAATATCAGTGCACTAGTGAAAGAATATTAGACTCCCCAGTTGACGTGTATTGGACGTGTGGTGTGATTTGTTTACTCCTGAACATTGGTAAAAATCGAACATTTCCGCTACTTTGAGCTCAGTTTCAAGGTCGTTTTCATCATCAAAGTAATAAAAATTATCTCTATTTCTGTAATATGTTTTCCATTTTATCATCTAAGACCATGAAAACGCAAGTACATCGATAAATACTATACGAAAATACACCTCAAAGTCGGCGTTTTAATCCAAAAAAATGATCAGTTTTTTTTTTCTCATTACGCACTGTGTGCTGCAGGATTTTTTTATGTGGTGCACACTGACCACACAGACCCATTCTCTCACATGTGGGCCTACCAGCTTTCTTCCGCTTGATTTGAAGCCGCTAGAATTATTGAGTATATATACGTCTGAAACACTGGCTCGTAAGATGTATGTATACGACCAAAACAGTCAAAGGGTTAAGCTGAACATATTGGTCAGTAAGGTTAACCTCTCCTCTTCTGATGCGCCTATAAATTCCCCTTTTCTCCCCTAATAGATGCTTTAGCCTACTGTTAACCCATTTGGGATCGTTATTATTGAACCTAATTTCTCTCTGGGGAATGTATATACTCTGGGCACGGTGTACATTATTGAGAAAAAATCATAAAAGCAGATCCCTTCATAATCATAAGTATGATGATCATCAGTAAAATCATTAGCTAGATTAGACAGGTGTTCCCTAAGTCTATTATAATCGGCAGAACGGAAATCAGGGATTTTTACTGTATTATCATTATTCTTGCTTTTCCAGTTAATGCTAAAAGTGATGGGTTTGTGAATACTTGCACCAAGCTCTTCAGTGATCTCCAGATTATTTATGAGTGTTTCCTTATTTGACAAGACTAGGTCTAGCAAATTATTACTCCTGGGTAGGCTCTGTTATGCACTGCTTCAGAAAACAGTCCTGAACTGTTTCCATAAAGTCACTGGACTCTAGATTACCTGTCAAAGAATTCCAGTCAATTTGACTAAAGTTAAAGTCCCCTACTATCACTATGTTATTGTGTCTAGAAGCCCTAACAATTTCGTCCCAAAGAAGTCTCTATCGTGATCCAAGCCAGGAGGTCGGTATATTACACCTAGAATTAGTTTTTCTTGACCCTCTACAAACTCTACCCAAACAGATTCTGTTACTGTTCCATCTATTTTTATACCAGTTATTATGCAACAATTAATATTTTCTCAAACATATAATGTAACTCCTCCCCCCTTCCCATTACATCTATCCACATGGAACAACTTAAATCCTTGAATATTACACTCAGCAATCATATCCCGACTCTGGCAAGTTTATTGTTGGAGAATATGATAGTAATATCAACTCTACGGCTTATTTATATATCATAATTCAACTAATATGACATAATAAAAAATATTAATAACATAGAAACATGGAATATACTCTAGAATGAATAAAATCAAGTCATTATGTATGTCACCAGAGGTGTTGTGTTGTTGTTGGGTATATAAGGGCCACTGAGAGTAAGCCGTCCATAATGCTGGTGAAGCAGCAGCTGAGGTTGCGGTGTTTTCTGTAGCCCTATATAACTCCAACAACATTGGAGGAGTTAGTAGAATTGCTGAATTACTGAAGAAGACACCCTCTACCACCATCACTACCACCTTCTACCATTATTACAACTGCTACCACCATCACTACCACCTTCTACCACCATTACTACCACCTTCTACCACCATCACTACCACCTTCTACCACTATTACAATGCTACCACCTTCTACCACTTACAATGCTACCACCTTCTACCACTATTACAACTGCTACCACCATCACTACCACTCTCTACCACTGTCAACCACTATCACAACTGCTTCCACTCTACCACCACTACCTTCATATTTTTCTACAAACTTTTTCTTAAATTATATGTGCTTCTCACATTCTTTACCAAAGGGCTGGCACTAGAAGATTTCTTTGGAGACATGGTGACTTATTTAGCAGTTGCAAACACTAAAACGAATGGAATATTATGAAATGTATCTTATAAACTCGTGGGATCATCCTCACTCGCTGATAAACAATGGCACACGGGCTGGGAATGGAGTGTGAGGCGGCTCGGGGCAGTGTGTACCTGTCCCAGACGAATGACTATTTGCGAGTCAAACAACGATTCACGAGCAAATGTTTTGACGAAAATAACGTTGCGATTTTCGAAAATTACGACTATCGAGCTTTACGATTATTGAGGGACCACTGTATATGCTTGTAATTAAATGTAATGTTTACCTTTTCTGTTTTTGTAGATTAGCTCGATGTTTGCATCAACTAGGACGAGAGCAAGAAGCAGAGCTTTGCCTTGAGGAATTCAGAAGGCAGCATCCTGACCACAGTGCCTCACCTGCATGTACTTCATTAGCCCATGATATTGCTACTTCTCTTTTGCACCAGCAAGGAGGAGGTAAGTTCTTTATACCTGATAATTTCGTTTTCAAGTTCAACTCAACAGCTATCCCTGCTAAGGTAGGGTGACCCACAAGAGAAAACACATTCACCATCACTCATTCAATTGCTGTCTTGCCAGAAGTGTACCGACATCACAGTTCAGATAACCCTCCAGCTGCAACATCCCCACCCATCTTTCAGAGTGCAGGCACTGCCCTTCCCACCTGCAGGACTCAAGCCTAACTAACCAGTTGCCCTGAATCCCTTCACAAAATTTACCTTGCTCACACTCCAGTATTGTCCATTAAGCTATGTATATAATTTTTTTTTTTTTTAACAAGTCGGCCGTCTCCCACCGAGGCAGGGTGACCCAAAAAGAAAGAAAATCCCCAAAAAGAAAATACTTTCATCATCATTCAACACCTTTACTGCACTCACACATAATCATTGTTTTTGCAGAGGTGCTCAGAATACAACAGTTTAGAAGCACATACGTATAAAGATACACAACATATCCCTCCAAACTGCCAATATCCCAAACCCCTCCTTTAAAGTGCAGGCATTGTACTTCCCATTTCCAGGACTCAAGTCTGGCTATATAAAAATAACTGGTTTCCCTGAATCCCTTCACTAAATTTTACCCTGCTCACACTCCAACAGATCGTCAGGTCCCAAATACCATTCATCTCCATTCACTCCTATCTAACACGCTCACGCACGCTTGCTGGAAGTCCAAGCCCCTCGCCCACAACACCTCCTTTACCCCCTCCCTCCAACCTTTTCGAGGATGACCCCTACCCTGCTTTCCATTCCCTTCAGATTTATACACACTCCATGTCTTTCTACTTTGATCCATTCTCTCTAAATGACCAAACCGCCTCAACAACCCCCCTTCAGCCCTCCGACTAATACTTTTATTAACTCCACACCTCCTAATTTCCACACTCCGAATTTTCTGCATAATATTTACACCACACATTGCCCTTAAACAGGACATCTCCACTGCCTCCAACTGCCGCTTCACTGCAGCATTTTTAACCCAAGCTTCACACCCATATAAGAGTTTTGGTACTACACTTGTACTGTACTTTCATACATTCCCTTCTTTGCCTCCATAGATAACGTTTTTTGTCTCCACATGTTCCTCAACGCACCACTCGCCTTTTTTCCTTCATCAATTCTATGATTAACCTCATCCTTCATAAATAGATCCGCTGACACGTCAACTCCCAAATATCTGAAAACATTAACTTTCTCCATACTCCTCCTCCCCAATTTGATATCCAATTTTTCTTTATCTAAATCATTTGATACCCTCATCACCTTACTCTTTTCTATGTTCACTTTCAACTTTCTACCTTTACACACACTCCCAAACTTGTCCCCTAACCTTTGCAATTTTTCTTTAGAATCTCCCATAAGCACAGTATCATCAGCAAAAAGTAACTGTGTCACTTCCCATTTGTATTTGATTCCCCATAATTTAATCCCACCCCTCTCCTGAACACCCTAGCATTTACTTCTTTTACAACCCCATCTATAAATATATTAAACAACCATGGTGACATTACACATCCCTGTCTAAAACCTACTTTTACCGGGAAGTATTCTCCCTCTCTTCTACACACCCTAACCTGATCCTCACTATCCTCATAAAAACTCTTTACAGCATTTAGTAACTTACCACATATGAATAATTTTTGTAGTAAGATTTTTTATTTGCTAGTTGTGGAAGAAAGAGAGCATAATTCATTCAGGGAATTCACTTTTCTGCCCAAATCTGGTTGAATGAAATAGGAAAGGGAAGAGGAAGAAAGGGTAGCAGACAATAAATGAGACAGTTTAGGTTTGTGAATATTCTTGATTAGTCCTGTAAACTTCCTCAGTCTACTGCCTCCCATGCCATTACTTTTGAAAAAAAGTTGTAGAAATGAGTCAGATATGAAAAATTATTATTGAGAATAAAAGAGAGAGAGAGAGAGAGACCACAAGGAAGAGGGGACTGATCATTTGTTCACATATACAGTGGTACCTCGAGTTTCATACAGCTCCCATCTCGAACAATTATGTAACTGTATTATTGTAAGTGCTTTTCTAAGTGTATTTTTGGGGGTCTGAAATGGATTAATCTAATTTATATTATTCCTTATGGGAACAATTTCGTTTGGTAACGACACTCAAACAGCCTTCTGGAACAAATTATGGCCGAAACTCGGGGTACCACTGTCTTACTTATTTAAATTGCAAACTTAAAATTACTACTGCATTGTTAATATTGAGTGTCTGTTAAGTCCCAGTTATGAGAACATTTTTCCATTGTCATAACAGTTAAAGACAATTCTGGATTTAATGTGATTTAGTCCATTAAATCTGAAAATAAATGTACCTTGTGGACAACAACAGTAATGGACTATTCAGATTTCTGGACTCCATCCATTAAATATGTAATGAATTTACCCAGCAGACTATTGCAGTAACAGACAGTTCTGAATTTAATAAATTTTTTCTGTTGCTTACAGATGTTTTCCAGACACAGATTTTGTTCATTTAACCCTTAAACTGTCCAAACGTAGATCTACGTTCACTCATGTGGCGCTCCGAATATTTTGAAAAATAATTTTTTTTTTTATTTTCTTTTAAAATGAAGAGCACATTTTTCTACATGTTATAGAATTAAAAAAAAAATTAGGGCCAGTACTTACCGAGATATAAGACCGTGAAGTTGGCACTGGATGCTCACCTGTCGGCAGCATCGACTCCTGCCTCTTGCAGAAGTGTTGCCAATATACCTTTTTTTTCTTGTTTATATTTTAATTTATATATTTTTTATGTTCTGATAATTACAATTTATAATAGTTCTTGTAATTTCATAGCCAGTCTTTGTTCTGACACTAATATTAGGTACTGAAATAGTGCTCAAATAGTCACAGTCACATTGACAGGTGAACATTTACACCTGCCTGGGTTACTATTGTTTAGAAATATATGCAAAGTATTTATAGGTCCCAACAATGCTTTAGATACCCTGGCATATACATTGAAGTACATTGTTATGAAAGGCATCCCTATACCATTGACAGCCTAGTGACATTTGATAAATGCCCACTGCTCCAGGCTAACCCTCGCTGTATTTGTTATCACTGTTACACACAAACATGTCTTGTCTCTCTGTCTGCCTGTCTATCTATCTATCTGTCTCTGTCTGCCTCTGCTTATCTGTCTCTGTCTGCCTCTGCTTATCTGTCTTTCTGTCTGCCTGGAGTATAGTCTAGCCGGCGCTCCTTGAAGAATCGTGTTATGACATTTATCAGTCAGTGACATTTGATAAGGTCCATTGACAGGGAACCATTTCACTCTGGTTTACTATTATTAAAATATATGCAAAGTATTATAGGTGTCCCAAAATCTTTAGTAATCTTGGATTATCATGGTAAGTACATATGTATAAAGACATCCCTATTCATTGACAGAGTAAGTTGAAAATGCCCACTGCTAGGCTAAAACCTCCGAGTGTATTGTTATCATGTTAAGCAAACAGTTTGGTCTCCTGTCTGCCTGTCTATTAGTCTACGGTCTTGGTGCCTTTGTTTCTGTCTCTGTCTGCCCTGCTATCGTCTTTCTGTTGCCTGGAGTAAGGATATCAAACTCTTGAAGACGTGTGTATGAGTTTATCACTCAGTGACATTTGATAAATGGGTTCGGGAACCCTGGCTTTATTGTTTCATGATACACGACTAACATGTTTCTAGAGGTGTATGTTGCAGTTTAAACTTTGCTGTAGCACTTTTTGGATATCTAGTAATGTTGAACGTTTTTATTTACACTGACTTATGTGTGATGTGAGACAGAGTATATAAATAAAAAATATAGATAGACAGAGATGTAGACAGAGGTATAGAAGCCAAAGCAGGCCAGCCTGCCAATACATAAAAAGAAGACATAAGAAGAAGGAACACTACCAGCAGGCAGGACATGCAAGCAGTACACTCACACACCCCCCTCCCCGGCTTAGACAAATGACCCACCTAGTCAGGTCACATCCATTGAAGGAAGGAGCATGACATCAGACCAAGTAGCACAAGCTAGTCAGGTCCAACTCAGACCCACCCACACTCATGTATTTATCTAACCTATTTTTACTTTCCTCTTAAAATGGGAGTGTTAATCCGACATGGCATCAGTGAATCCCTGGTGTTTGCCACGCTATTTGCTCTAGCCGGCGCTCAGTTGAACTGGTACTCCCACTAGGTACTAAGTGCTCCCAGATTTTTTTAATAGTGCACACACTGAGTGCACAGACCCATTCTTTCATGTCTAGGCAATTCAAGCCTATTGTGCCAAATTTGAAGGAATGAAAAATAAAGTTGATCTACATTTGGAGCACTACACGTGCAAACGTAGATCTACGTTTGGACAGTTTAAGGGTTAATCCAAAATCTGTTAAGTTGGATCCATTAAATTGAGGTTATACTGTACTGTACAGTATACATTAAAACCTCACATTAACAGACAAAAAAATGGCCAGACAAAATAGTAAAGAGTCCATAATTCTGGATTTTGTCCATTAGCATGTTTTTATTAACAAAAATTTATAAATATTTATCTGTTAATTTTTTACTTAATGGATTCATACTTTGTGTATGTACCTTGTATACATGTATAAAAAACCTTACGTATATTTGGTAAAATTGTTGAAGAACTGCAGTATAGATTTATTGTTTATGTTGTGTTAGTTGTGAGTGGTTGTCAGGCTAGGATAGCCACCAAGCTAATGAGGGATGCCCCAGCTCAGGCAGAGGAGGGTGAAGGAGTGGGGGTGTTGGCTGAGAGCCAAGGAGGGGGAGGCCTCTCCATCCCTCACTGCCTCCCTGCACTGATCCATTGCCTCCTCCCTGAGTGCATATCTTCCCTATCTTCACCCACCTACTAACCCTCTTGCATTCACCCATCTACCCACCCTCTTACATTCATCCATCCTCTCACATTCACTCACCTACCCTTTCCATCAACCCCTCT